TTTCTGGGAATGCAAGCAATCGATGGTGACATCAATTTTAAGCATACCAGGAAATATTAAGTTTCATCAACCTATCTACTGGATCTATTGTAGGGAATTTTTGATTGTAAAAGGGGTAGAAATGAACTCGGGTGAAGCCAATCACTTTATTGATTTTTACTGTAGATATTTGGCCCAATGGTGAAACTGGAAATTCAAGGACCTATTTTTCTTAGGTCATGTTACTTGATATTCAGCTAATATTGTAATGGTGGCAGAAGTCCCATAACTGGGAATGTCAAAGAATGCAACCATATTGCCTTGCTAGATACCTTTTTTAAGTTTGAACAGATCCCCCTCTGTCCCCTGATTTACCTACCTCAATGTTAGGGTCGATAGAAAGTACAAATGTGCCATAAGTTCTGTATTTAATGCATATTTGAAATCTGTACACTACACTGTTTCGAACAGTGAATGAAATGTATTCTGCTTTCATTGATTATATTACACACAAAGGTCTGCAAAGAGAAGCGTTGTTAATACGCTGCAGATGTTATTCTGTTCTGCTTTGAAAGTCTCACTGTTGTGTATGGTTTCAGATCTTGAGTGGAAGATCATCTATGTGGGTTCAGCTGAGAGCGAGGAATACGACCAGGTTCTGGACTCTGTTCTAGTCGGCCCGGTACCAGCTGGTAGACACATGTTTGTGTTTCAGGTATGTAAGCTTTTTTCACATGTTACTTCTCTTCTCTTAAAGCTAGACCACAGGGAATTATAGAACTTCTCACCAAATAAATGTGGGTGAAAGTGTTTGATTTCCCTAGTTTTGTTCTTCCTTTTGCCCAGTGCTGCATTAATAGGATAAATACTTTGGTTTAGTTCAATCTGATTTATGTATTTGTAATGTTCCTCTCGTACCCCCAGGCGGATGCTCCTAACACAGGGCTGATTCCAGAGACTGACGCTGTAGGAGTGACTGTTGTCCTTATAACCTGCACCTACCGTGGACAGGAGTTCATCCGCATCGGTTACTATGTCAACAATGAATACACAGATCCTGAACTAAGGGAAAACCCACCTCTGAAACCAGACTACGCTCAGGTAATGCATGCATACACTCAGCAAAGACCGGCATTGCATTACTTTACGGATAGAAGCGTAGGAAGCCCACTCGCAACAATCTGCAGACATACACTACAGTGATGGGCCATGCTTGTCGAAAGGGTCTTTTAAGCACACACAGTTTTTACTGCCCTCTGGTGCTATGAACATGGAAATGACAGGATACATTGGCATCAAGAGTATAACATAAACTTCAAATATATATATACTTTGTATAAAGTAAATGTTTCCTTATCTTTAGTTGTTCTCTCTTAATTCTTATTTTTCTGTTGGTATAACGCAAAAGTAAGTCAAAGACCCCAAATATATGCATCTTAGAGATTATAATTAGTTTTCTGCTCTTTTCTTCTGAAATTAAAAGTTTTGCTGAATGATTGCTTGATTAAAAAAAAAAAACTAAAGTTGAATTGATAAGGAAAATAATCCCAGTCCATTTGCAGCCCTATACCGCTCAATGCAGGTTAGAGTTAGTTAAAACATAAAGGGGGATGATGTTTTATTAGCCTTGCACAAACATTTTCAGTTGGCTAAATATTGATAATGGCTTTTGTTTGCCTTTTAATAGAGATACAAAATAACCTACACTTTGTTTGCATTCAACTCTGGGCTACACAATGCCCACTCATTGTCAAAACTCCACGAGAGCTGAAGGTGTTAAATGCAGACAAACATTTTCTTTCTGGTTGAAATAATAAGTGAGGGGTTCTAATATCAGGGATACAAAGTATTTACTTATTTAGCTTGTAATATACACCTACAGTACACACTCCATTAACCCTCAGCCTGATAAAGAGGAGCCCTGTAGCATCAATGCAAGCCAGTGGAACAGAAGCCTACTCAACACTGACCATGACTCTCTGAAGTATGCTCTGTGACTTCTACTGTATGTAGAAAAGGGACCTTTTTATATTCACCTGACAGGGATCCCAACTTTTTAAAAAAAGTTCCTGATGTTCCTGTCTTTCTTTCTTTTCCTGGCATGGAAAGCCATCAAGATTACATCAGTTTTGGCTGTAGGTCCACAATCCTGCAGTCATCGCATGTTTACCAGGCGGGTGGGCACTAATGAAAAGATGGTGTTTAGTTGCATTAAGAAAAGTGTTGAGACTTTACCCATATTTGGGACTAAAAGTGAGGATATCTCAACCATAAAAAGTAAATCTGTCATTTCCCAAATTCTCTCAGCTCCTGAGAAACATTTTGGCCTCAAACCCCCGTGTCACCCGTTTCCATATCAACTGGGAGGGCTCAGCAGACAAGATGGAGGACGGCGAAAATGTTGACCCGTCTCCCAACATCAGCGGCATGCTCCCTCCGTCCTGTTTACCAGGAAAGATGCCAACTATTGGGCTGATGCCGGAAAACTCAATGGACTGCATGTAAGAATCATCAGAATAACATAATGGACAAGAAGCTCTTCCTTCAATACACTCAACCACAGTGAAAACACCCATTCGGACAAAGAGACCTTGGATTTATCCAGACAACGTGTGGAAATTAACAGGAAGCAGGGATATGGCAGCAGGAACAATCTTTTTATACAGCACACACAAATGGGATGCATCTGGAAATATAACAAACTGTTTTTGTCTCTTGTGCATTTCGACACACCAACCTGCACAACCAACATTGCCTTATTTTACTGTATAAGATAATGTCAAAGCTGAGTCAGAGAAAGTTAAAAGTCCTCAAGTTTGGGTGATCTTAAGACCACCAAATCCTCAAAGCAAGTCATACTCATACTGTGCTGCTCATTTTATCCTCTGGAGCACAGATCAAATCTATGGGCAGTACTCAGAATAGATGTAGCACTAGCTGCTTATAATAAATAATTGTTCTGAAGGTTTGTCTCCTCTGAGCTTGATTTTGTTGCATCTGAATTACATGTTCAACAATATTGGGTATGAAATATATGCCGTGTGGGCCTGTTGCAAGAAGCAGGATTTATTTGTCTAACGCTTACTAATAGTCTGTAAAACAGCCTCTTCAAACAGGCTCCAGGTCAGATAATGTTCTTTAAAATGTTACAAAAAATGTCTGTCTGTAATTATGCACAAACCATGTATGTGAAGGAAACAGGAGAAATGGATTCTGTGTTGCAGCCATGTGGTTTGGGTGTTTTAGGCTAATTGTAAATAATGTTTTTTCTCAGCGCTTATTTTGTCTTCAGGAAGGGAAGGCATGTTTTTTATACTTACTATATATTCTTTGCCTCAGTATTTGTAACAGTGATGGGGTTAATAAAGTTTGTTTTGTGAACCTAGTGCTGCTTTCTGGTCATCACATCGTGCTTACACAGCTGCTTTCCACCTAGAGGAGAGGAGAGCACAGCAACAGCAGTGTGTGTGTGTCGCCCACTCTTTCCCCTCCCCTCTCTGGCGCCCTTTCTTTTTTCCAATTTCATTCATAAAATATAGCAGCCTCTCTCCACCATTCTCACTCTAGCCTCATGTTGCTAGGCAACTGCAGCACAAAAGGGAGGGGGGCTGTCTGCTGATTTTATCTCTTCTGAGGTGAAGGGACTGGCTCCTCTGCCTTCATCTGTTACTTCTGTCCTTTTACTATTCTCACTGTTTAGCAAGACTGAATAGCTGCGGTCTAGATCTAAAAAATGCAAAATCTAAAGCAAATCTATAATAAGTAGTCTTGTATGTAAAATGGTGCATACATTACAATTGGTATCAAAATCAATTGTTGCTTCTCCTGCCTGAGTGGAGGAAATGTATTGGGTGCGTTAACCGCAGTTCAATTGTATGGTCCTTAAATTGACCTTTTTAAATATACTTTAATAGACCAATACAAGGATTGTGTATGAGCTTGTGTATAGGATTGTGTCTTTTGGTATCAGATTAATAATATTGAAGAATAATAATCTGAAAAATGATGCATTATCATAGGTTAAGGTAGGATTGATCCCAGGGGAGAAATTCACAAGCTAATCCATTCACTTTTACTAATGGTATTTTAAGCATGTAAGTTTGATACTAGTCCTTATCTGCTTTGCGTTGTTGGTTCTATTTTACCTACCTTCTGGTTTTTTATTTTCAAAATGACAATGGTAACACCATGGTTGCAGCCTTTATATATACAGTCTATGGTTGCATCCCACCACTGCATTTCTGAAAACCAGAGGTGCCACAGAAATAATTTGATTAAATGTTCAACAAGCACTGATAATAAATAAAAGCTTTATTATATAATCAAAACACACTGAGATGTCACATGAATATAGGGCTTCATATTTTACAAGTTGTAGCTTATACACCTGTTTAGGCTTATAGAATATATATAAAATAAAGTAGAAGGCTGCAGAGCCATAATATGATGGTGTCAGACCCTGCAGTAGCTGTAGGGATGTCTTATTTATAGCTTGGGTGTTTGTTAATGGGCCTTTTTTTTAAATTAGACTTATAGACTCAAATAAATCTTAAAATGTGATATTTAGATGCAAATCTATATGAAATTGAGGCTTTTCAGGATCATGATAAGAAGGGGCCCTTGGGCATTTGGTACACCGGAAGGTGCGGATGACACGAGATGCTGTTCGAAGAGTCTGACTGTAACCGTCGACGGTCCACACAGACTGAGAGTGAGGCTCTGCGTGTTTTCAGCCAACACTGATTGTAAAATTGGTTTATTCCTGTGATTCACTTCCTACCAGATAAACTCTACCCTCCATGCAAGACCGTCTGCGATCTGTTCAGAAGTCCTGCCAGCCGCGCGGCGCGTGCGTTAAATTCTGACCAACATTTCTATAAATAGCTCGCAGTTGACGTCACTCAGCCAAACGTGTATCAGTCGCTCGGCGGCGGGGAGAGGGGGTGTATGAAAGCTCGGGGAGGGAAGTTTTTTTTTGGACGAGTGTGGGGGGGGGGGCATTCCTGTCAACCACTGAATACAGCCAATAGATATCCACGCATTCACTGAGATTCCCACGGTTCGACCACGCCAAGCCAATGGAGGAGAGCAACCGGAGTAAGTGGGCGCGTACGTCGTCGGGAGGAAAATAATCACTGACGTTCCCGTCGCTTGCTATGGCGGCGGTACGCTACCGTTAATGATGGATTGCAAAGGACCAATTACAACGCTCCATGGGACAGCGCTGTAGAAAGGTAGCCAATCAGTTGCCTAGCTTTAGCTGTCATTCATTCCCGATTCTGGCGGGTAGGCGGGACGTTCGCTCGGCTGTAGTTCCGTCATCTCGCTCGTCTCCGAGGCTACAGGGGGCCAATGTTGATTAGGGCGAATTCCCGTCGTTGTCGGAGCCCGCCGAGGAACCATTTTTAAAAGCTGGGTTCGGTAACGAAAGGTGGAAGGCTTTTGGTTGATAATATTGCATCCCCGCCGTCGGCATAGCTTTTTTTCTGGGCTGGGGGAGAGGTGGCGAGCCGGGGGGCCTCGCTCGGAGGGGGCTGCAAGGAGGGACAGGAGAAGACTGGATCCTCCGTGTTCAGGCCAACTGCGCCGAGGTCGGCCTGGCAGTCCAGTGAAGCCCCAGCGACCGAGACACCAAAGTGATAGTTCCCCGTGGATCTAAACTCGATTCCGGTCGCCGGTGGAGGGATGACCGTGGAGTGAGTGAGTCCGCTGCACCGTCTCTCCGTGGCACCGCATCTCCGTGGCACCGCATCAGCAGCTGTCAGCCTATTAAGGAGCAAAACCTCGGAGTGAACGCTTGCTTACTATAACAGGTGGATTTAAGGAGCACCATTCAGACCTAATCGAGCTTTGACCGGCTTGCCAAGGCTGTAGGGCGGCCAAAAAGCCACGGATTGCCCGTTGACAAGTTGTCATCATGGGCAACGCGCCCACGGCCAGGAAGGGAAGCGAGATGGAAAGCGGTGGGTAACATACACACTACTCCTGAGCAAACACCTGCTCTGTAACAGCCTCATGAAATGATCAGAGACGATGTTATACAGCAGGCTATGTTAGCTTTACATAACAATCCATACACTGTCAATTAGAGGCCTAGATGCTTGCTTTCCCATTCATTAAGATCCATTCGTACGTCCATGACAAGTCCTCGCTGCTGTATCAGCCTGTGCCCTGCACATTTACATCGAGGATCATGTATGTAGATGGAAGGGAATCTCTCTTCAAATGAGGCTCAGGCTTACTGTTCAGGTTTTTAATTTAAATGTGTGTGCTAAGGTAGGACGAAGCAGGATTTTGATCTGTTTCCATAGCCAAATATATCTGTAAGCTGAAAAACTGCCAACTGCAGTTGTAAGCATCTTGGAATATTCAATGTGCTGAAATATTGGCAATATCATAACACTCTGACTGTCAGATATTTCCCAAACACTAGGCCTGTTTCTCCACACATTTGGAAAGAGATGCTGCTTTAACTGTGTGTGGGTGAGCTGAATATATTCTCTGAGAATCCAAAAAGAGTTTGTGTCTGATGTACTGTGAATCCAAGGAAATATGACTGGTATTTATTTAGTTTTTACCACGGTTTTTACAATGACACATCAACTAAAGCCACTATTATTTAAATGTCTGTCAGCAGTGATGCATAATAAATGCAGATGTGTGTGTATTTCATACTCAAGCCAGTCTGAGTACTGGCTAGCAGCCTAATAGCATGCTACAACCGTGCATCACTATTAAAACGGTGTCCTTTCAACCAGATATGTTTTTCAACAAACAACTTACATTGATGATGAAGAGAGTCCTTGAAATTTGATTTAAAAAGTGTTTTCTGTGGCATTACTATAGTTCACTTATCCCTACCATATCCACGCAGCTGGTTATAACCCTTGATCTGTTTTCAGGAAATGTTTGATTCAAATTTGTGTGAATTATAATTTTGTTTTCTTTCTCACTTAAGTAGCATGCTTGTCCTGTGATATAGTATTACACTTTCAAATAGCTGGATACTCACAAGAGATTGATGAAGCAGCAAAGACACAGATTGTCTTTTCTTTAACAGCTTTCTATGCAACTCAAATATTCTTTCCTTACTGCCTGTAAAAGGCCCTTGTCTTTTACATCCCTAGACTATAGAGATCTTTAAAGTTCTACAACAGTTTTACTATGACAAGTAACAACACAAAAACACAAAGTTTAGTCTTAAACGATATAGCTCAGCTTTTTAAGTTTAGATTCATGTTTCAACCTGTTAGGCACCTGTTGCATGCCATCCTATCAATTGTTCCTCTTTTGGTGTTAGCTGGGCTATAGAAAGCACACCTGCTCTTTACAACTTATTATCATTTAACACCAGATGTATCCTATTTATTTTCTGGTTTTTCAACTCTTTTCACACACCAACATCTTTCCTTTACAGTCAAGGAGTTCCTTGTTAAAGCCAAAGAGGACTTTCTAAAGAAGTGGGAGATCCCTGCACAGGTTAGTGTTCATCTCAATAACAGGAATGTGACTTGTATTATCTCCCTCTACGATTCCTTCTTTTCAATTTAAAATCGTGAATACCACTTTTAATGTACATTTCTATATACTTGTAAAACATGTTGGGTGATGTTTCATCATTTATTGATTTAGATCAAAACCATATTGCCCTATTTCCTCTAAAATTGATTTTGTGTTTTTTTTTATATATGATGAGTTATGACACATGTGATGGATAGCATTGCATTGAACAATATATGGCTTGTTTTACATGCATTTTTTACAATCCTTTTCATCTGCAGGCATTTTAAAAATCCTTGTTAAGATTGTGGTTTTAATTTCAACTGTATCCTTAAACCCTAGGAATATTATACAAGCCATGGATGTTCTGTGGGCTGCTATGCAACAAAGATTTAAGACATATTTTACAGACACTATGATAATATTTCATAACCTTAAGCAGGTAGTTATGAAAAAAAACACATTCACATGTGACAGTGTGACTTCTTTGCAAACTTTATGTTGATGATCTCAATCAGGACTTATCCAGTATGCATTTTGATGCTTTACATACTTTAATAGTCCATATATACCATGCTTGATACACATGATTTACTCTGTGATTATACTTGGTCATTGCTAACCTGTACAAAAACATACATAAACTATGTTAGAAGTTAAATGTGAGCCTTGGACACATTAGCAAATGAAACTTTCCACGCCACAACACTCACCCTCCAGTTTCACAAGGATCCACTAACCCTTAATGTTTGTTCAGAACACGGCTGGCCTGGAGCAGTTTGAGAGGTTGAAAACCCTCGGCACGGGCTCATTTGGCCGTGTGATGCTGGTGAAGCACAAAGAAACGGAACAGCATTATGCCATGAAGATCCTCAACAAGCAGAAGGTCAGTCGGGATGGAGGGTGTTAACTGGCATTTAGGGACACTTGCACTATGTTCATAGAAAATAAGGAAATTACAATTGATGTGGAAATGAACCTGCAAGCCTTGAAATATTCGTGGATATCAAATCCTGGCAATATGCCAGTGCAAAGATGCAGAGACTCTCGTACAGGTGCAAGCCTTTATTCCTTTGTTTCCCTTTGAACCTCTTTGAACCCGCTTGTGATGAAGCAGGCATCGGCTGGAGTGGCTGAGCCGTGGTTGTCTTTATGCAAATCACATCAAGTAGAGCCATTCTGATTCCCAATTTAGAATTAAAGTGTCCCTGCGCCGATCCCCTTTAATTATCTAATATTTATAGATGGGCTTAACATGTTTGTAGATAACATATGCGAATTGCCAAGTGGCTTAGGTTCTTTTACCACATTAATACAGTCAAAATACATGCAGGTTAACAGAATAGGTCACCGAATAGTGAAAGCAAATGTTGTTTTTCTATACATGTGCTGGAAACATGGCTAACTGTTTGACCAAATGCATGCTGGGCCAGACTCCTAGCAGGTATAGAAATAAAGAAATCTTATATATTTAGGTTTCTGTATAGTCTCATTTAGAGTTCCTTATATTATATAACAAACGGTATGCATTTCTTTGTTTTACTTCCTGTCTCTGCATCTGGAGAGAGACAGCCCTCCTTTAAAGGATACAAGCAGCTGATGTAATTGGCCAATTTGATGCCACCTGCTTAGAATATATTCCTCCTGTATGTTCATCCTATTCAGGCCTGTATTTCAAAGTGTCGTTTTTTAACTTTAATTAGTGTATACTTTTAGTAGTGTGTCTGATTACTAAAAGAGCAGGCACCCTCCTCTGCCTCAGTAACTAAATGGTATTGATCTTACTATTGTGTTAATCCCCCATGACCTTTATCTTGGTTTACTTTGAAAGTGAAAAGTGGAAATACTCGTAGGAAGAGTACATTTTCATGGTCCTACTATCCAAATTAACCTCATTTGAAAAATAATTGGATGTGTGTATGTGTCGCTTGACCAACAAAAGATGAAAGAAAATGGTTTGTGCAGCAAATAATAAAGATATACTTTTTGAATATGTTTTGAAGACATTGCACATCAAAAGAGTAGAAAATAAATTCAATAGAAACATCCCAAAATAGAAAACGGAACTAAAAAGTCGACTGTGAAAGATAAACATCTGTAGACTGCCTGACAAATAAACTCTATGAAGGGCCAAACACAGCTAACACAATTTAAAAGTAGGATATTATTTACATTAAGTGTGCAATGTTGACCTATTCACAATGTAATAGTGCCAGCCAGGTGAAATAACCTGATCAAAAGCAAACACAAATGGAAAAATAGATAGACAGCTGTTGGCCATGAGTGCCATAAACTAAAGGCATTGAGGTAAATAAAGCATGTGGAGCCTAAAAGCTGCAGACTGTACGGAGTAGAGATTATGATGTGGGGGGAAACATGATAATCTTAATCACTTTTTAAAATTATTTTTGAACTATTGCCTTTTGTCCTTAGTTGCCTTTTACTTTCTAAGCTATAGCTATTTAATGTGTTATCTAACGAAGTACACATGCATAGCTCAGTGTTTTGGATGGGAGCATAGTTTATTTGTTCTATCCATAGGTATCAGTACAGTGGCTGTTGTTTATTGTTGTTAAAACTCATTTCTTGTTGCAATCTAAACTCTCCTTTTTCCATCCCTATTTTTTGCCTTTCAGGTGGTGAAGCTCAAACAAATAGAGCACACTCTGAATGAGAAGAGGATCCTTCAGGCTGTCAGCTTCCCTTTTCTGGTGCGACTAGAGTACTCATTCAAGGTAAGTCTTAGATAATGTGTGTGTGTGTACGAGCCTGTATGTGTCTTTTACTTATATCCCATTCTCTATAAGGGGAGACCCATTTTAAAGACTCTCGTCCTGACTGCTGAAGACTATTTGTCTATATACTACATGTTAGCATTTCCTTTTATCTGTAGTGGCATCCAAACTTTCCAAGAAGCCACTATAGAGCCGTGTGGATGACAAGCAATCCAAAATAATCATCAGCCACCGGTCTAAAGTCAAATACTGAATAAACTAACAATTCTCGACTTGAAATAGCTCTCAAAATAACAAAACTTCAGTTATATTTCAGGCAGTATACTTTCCGCTGCCCAACTCATTGTGTATCATGTAATCTCCACACTGAAATAAACGTTGTAAATGTAGTTGCCTGGAAGACCAAAGGCAAAGTAAACATAACTCATTTTCCATTCAAAATGTAACACAACCATTTATTCAGACACATCTTTAAAACACCATGTTTAACAGGCTGTTAATATAATCATTCTTTCACCCTAAATGAATGTATTAAGTATTCATCTAAATATTAGCTTTGAGTTCATTATGGCTTTAACGTTACGTTTTATCTGTTGAACAATGTTTTTTCAAATAAGGCTCTTAACACTACATGTGAAGTTAAAACCTTAAAACTTCTTTACTCAATAAAGCATAGCATATCAAAAATATCTAAGGCCACTCAACATTTAGTTTGCTTCACAGCTTTTACACTATGTTGGGGGGTTTGGGTTATTGTCCCCAGATAAAGAATGCAGTTATTTTGTAGGGTATAATCTGTCTGTTTAAAGCTCAATCAAGATCTAAGTTGATTGTTGAAGAAAAGAAAATATACTCAAGTGGGGAGTTGGACTATATAAACACCTTATTGAGGTTAAGCTGATCAGATTGATCTTGGAGGACCGGGATAGAATATGAAGAATAAAACCCTCTTTGACAATCTACAGCTAGTATCTCTCTGCTCTACACAACAGGCTGGGCATAACTTCCTGGCTCATGTGTCTTCAATTTGTAGGTGACGAAGTGTGTGTGTGTGTGTGTGTGTGTGTGTGTGTGTGTGTGTGTGTGTGTGTGTGTGTGTGTGTGTGTGTGTGTGTGTGTGTGTGTGTGTGTGTGTGTGTGTG